ATATAACATATATCCACTGTTGATTCGCATTGCTTTGCTGCTTGCTTTATATTGGCTGTGTTGCGCGGATTCTGTAGCAATAATACAATGCAATACAAAAACATGAAATAATAACAAATAACCACCCAAGAAACAACAACGACAAACGAGGAGATAAATTTATTGAAGAAGAAGAACAATATTAAGAGAGAAGGGCAGAAAAGAACAAAAAAAAAAACAATTTCAGATATTCCAACAAAAACTGAATGGTTGCAGCAGTATCAACATCAGCGCGGTGTATCTTTTCCTTTGCATCAATAGTTCTCTTCATAAGCACATTCTATACTAGCATTTTCTCATTCTTTTGCCTTCACCCAGCCTACTATCTCTTGCACAAGTTTCATTCTCTGACACTTGTATCTTCCTTCTAAAATTGCATAGCCTCACTGCGATCCTTGTGCAGTACGCACGTGTCGTGTCACCCACTGTTCTCGAGCTGCTTCCGATCGTTGCCTGTTTACCTTCCCTCGTTCCTTATACAGCAACTGCTGCAGTTTTCATGAAATGCGTATTCACCCTTTCATATCTATTGAACCTCATTTATGTTTTCATCCATTCATTCCACCACCTTCAACCGAAACGTTTCTTTTCTTTCCAATTTCTATAAACCTAGTTTACTAATGAAAAAAGCACCACTTATCTATTTTTTGACGGCAAATGAGAATATCTGAAAAGTATTTCGAGTAGAAACGTCTTTCATATTTTGAATTAGAACTCGAACAATCTGAAGTTAATTAGTCGAAGCTGCCATCTATTGGATTTCGACGGAACTTGATCAGCTTAGCATTCCTTTAGTCGTTCGATGTTCTCATTGCTAGTTGATAAGGCAAATAAGAGCTTACTTTTTCGTTCTCTTTACAATTGTTTTTTTTTTCGGATCAGATGGTTTGTTTTCGAGATTATTCACTGACTCTTTTCGTTATTCATTCCATAAAAATAACATGCAAAAAAGTCATCAAAATGACTGACAAGCCATTATTAGTTGGAACAAAACGTGGATTATTAGTGTTGTTATTCTAGCTGAACGACGGTAGGTGCATCAGGTGCAACGCTTACATATCATGTCTATTCTTATCTTCCTTTCTCTTCTCCGTTCATGCTCATACAAAAAGTGTGCATATAAACTTCTGTGTTGTATTCTCAACTTTCTAAATAAAACATTTTTGTGCATATATATATAAGTACCGACCAAGTACGGTTCCTTGTTCCCACCCTACCTTCATTTCTTCAGCTCGCAATCGCCATTAACCACTCCTTGCTGCATATTTATGCTAACTAGTCGGATAGCTAGGAGTATCTCAAGGACAACGCAATTATCATTAAAATTGGCGATATGCTTCAAGTTACTGGCCGAAACTACCCTTTTTAGTCACGAGTCCACATTAATCCTGATTATGGCTTTAATGGCTAAACACCCAATCAGTTATGCTATAGTTTGTGAATTTTTTCACGAGTGTTTTAATGAATCTGTGAAAGCTTTATGACTACAATGTGTTGCTTGTTACTTGATCGCTTGAAGATTGTCCAGATTAGAGAGCGATCGTGTCCAGGAAGGAAATTCGATGGTTACATGTGGGATTAGTTTCGACGTGCACAAGTAAATGTAAATGTATAGGTGTGTATAAATAGTTCAGTGAATAAATAAATATTAGAGATATGAATATAAGTTCAGATATAAATGCTTGTATTGGCCGATTATTTTGTTGTATTTGTACGTATGTCACATGTTTGCTTATTTACTTAATAAATTTGCACATACGTACCAAATAAGCAGTTTATGAAGTTTCAACTATTTGCTAGACTTTCCTATCGGCACTTCATCTCAGCTTATATGTTTACTGACCTCTTCACTAGCGGTCAGCTGAACAATGATCATTTCATCAGCCCAACCTTTGTACTACCTCATTTGACAAGAACTCGTTGATTCCACATCATTGCGTCGCTAAGCAACACTAAATTCAGCCCATTACGAGTAGCCTGTGGCCAAATAGACGAAACTTCTTCAAACGCTGTTTTCTTCCTTATTATCGCAATTTTCTTCACGCTTTATGCTGCCCACTGTTGAGAAGATAACGTGAAGCTAATGCTACGTTCGTAGCGTTTGAATGTTTTTCGGCCAAAATCCCACAATCCTCCATCATTTCACATAATAACTCCCGTTTCCAAAAATCTGTTCAAATGTAACTTCCAACAGCATCCGCAACAACAACCAAAACTAAACTCGTAAGAATATCAATTCGAGTTAATGTTCTCGTTCGTTCATTCAACACTAGTCACGTTATAACAATAGCACTGGTAAATACATTGTTCTGTAGTTGCTCATTATTCACTAAATAATGCACCTATCCTCTAGCACCATTCACTTACTTTTTTTTCACCTATCCATCCCACTCGTATCACCACCGATTTTCGATCGAATATCCATTCTTTCCTTTTCGGCGATGCATTCTTCTTGTTTTGATATTCTTTCAAATAACGACGACTATATTGCGGATGATAACGCAACGATAGTTACCACGCATCATTCTACTTTTCACGTTCATTCCATTACGTTTGTTCGTTTGCTTTAATTTCCATATTTTGAACATTGAACTTTAAAAAGTTTACAATCATTATTCAAGACTTTCAAAATTTCAGTGTGAATCCAACCCAAACAAACATTCATCTACCGTTTCTTGTGCGCTTCTGAGCTGATTTACTTTGGCTTAATTGGAGCGTTGGCGGGACGGACAATCGATTAATCCTGGTCTCGGTTACTGTTGAATTTATTGCATTGAATTAACTGGTTCACCGGATGCAATCGATCTAATTTACGTATGCATCTTTACAATGGATAGTAATAAAGTGAGTTGAATTGGTACCGAAATGCCGAATAATCGCGAATTTATCGAACTACCAGTTAATATTCAAGAACACGCGACGAATTTAAAAGTGCAAAATGCGCGAACAAGGGACAATCATCAATCGTTCGTCGCTGATTGTTCAAGTAATGATCAGTGTTTGAGATCAGATGTTGTTTTAATCGCAATGGATCAAAATGATTCAACGCCAGCAAGTTTCGAAGCAGCAACAAACAAATCCATTAATAACAATAATCGTAATAATGCTGAGAATAATAATACAAATAATAGTAATGGTAATGATAACAGTAATAAGAATCGCCATCGACGTCTCAAACCTTCTGCATATCGTACCTTCGTAAGATTACTTCGCAAGCAGTTCCTTTCATTAGCAACATCTACGCCTGATCAGCATGATCACAGTCATGATCATAACCTTAATACAAGTACTACTATAAACAGTTGCGTAGCATCTCCATCTTCACAGATTACTACTTCGAATGGTTTTTGCTCATCGCAGCACCTCCGTCGTCATCACCAGTCAACAACAGTAGCTTCCGAAGTGATAGAGCCGAACGACTCGACGAATAGTTGCCAGAAAAGCTGCAAAGAGACGTTGTTCCCGAAAAATATCTGTCACCAAGACACTCATCTCAAAATCGGTGGCTCGACTGACTGTCAGTCATCGTTATTGGTGGTGTCATCTGAAATTGCGATGGCTACTAAATCAAATAATCGTTCATGTGTCCCCATGGCGAGTGAGCACTGCAGTTCAGGGCAAGGCTGCAGTGAAAAGCGATCACCGTTTGCGGTAGGAGTAAGCTCGTATTGTCGATCACTGGCATTATCCTCATCATCTCAACAAAAATGTGATATTGCCTGTGAACGACAGTACGACAGTAATAAAGATGAGGCAAACAACTCAGTTCAACAACGATTCAATAAGGAAAGTAAGTTACTTTTCTGTCACGTATCTGAAGCCTTTTTACAGCGTAATCACTTCTATTCAAGTAACCAATTTTGTCCGCATTTGTTCTTAGTAATTCATGCGCAGCAACTCATAAAACCTGATAATAGCACTATTTCAGAATTTTCGTTCCTTCATCCAATTATTTTCGTTCCTTCATCCAATTAAGATGGCAGTTAAGATTTTGAAATTTTTACAATATTATGCTCATAATAGATCTGTGTACGTAACGAAAAGCTTATTAAAAGATCGAGGGAAAATGATTGCAAATCATCGAACAATTAGAAGTAATGCTGATGAATATGAACTACTCCAACTTACACCAGAAGCTATTACTACCACCACCACGTTGAAGTTATCATCCTCTCTTTTCAGAAGATCATCAACTGCAAACCATAACTGCCACTTCAAATGACAAGTTCGATGAAGCTACCACCTCCTCATCTCGGTCATCCTCGACATTATCTCAGGCTGAAAGAGCATCACGTGAACAGCAACAAGCTGCATGCACTTCTGCTGAGCTTCAGTCAACAAGTGCATCAATCAGTGATCGTCGAGTTCATGTTACTGTGAAAGCTGCTGCAAAACTTGTTCAACAACTGTTGCCTGCGGCTGTCTATGATGATCCATTTTGTGCAGTTACCGTCGATGGTCTTCTACATATCTCTGAATATTATTTAATGTCAAATAACCGATCGAAACGACGATTGAGTAATTATGATGTGAGTTACATTGTTTCGAACAGTTGTGCTTATAACTAATATATTATAATGATCATACGAATAATCATGATCACCGTCATATCGATGCGAATAGATATAAACCAGAGTTTATCGCTCAGATGGTGTACGTTTAATTTGTATTCTATTCTCTCCTTATTGTATTCTTCTGTGTGTCAGCTCAAACAATCTACATCAACAACAAGCAAATATCCCATAATAAGCGTAATTATAATGCTTAAGTTTGCCTTCGCTGTAAGTTTTTTATGATCTTCATGTTTGGGAATACATCCATAAGCATCTACAGACTCCTTATTCCGTTAAGTAATCTTAGTCAGTCAATATCATTAATGCATTTCCTGTATGAATGAATTCGCATTTCAGCGTTCCAGTTCGAAATCAATTCACCTGTTCGACATTTTGACCGTCTTTTATGCGAATTGGTCATCGTTAACATCGCAAAATACTGAAAGTTCTACATCTCTTCTTTATCGAGCATGGGGATTAACGCCGATCAATTCAGTTTGGTGGGCCGCGGATAGCACCCGGTAATATCATTATCATTTCAAAAAATCGTTAATGTGAGCAGGATTATTGTTATTACTATTCTTACTTTTATTATGGTTAGTTTACGGTTCATATATTTTCTTACAGTCAGCCTAATTTTAACAACTATACTGCAGGACAGCTGGAAATAGAAGGGCGGATGTATCAAAGATGTCATCAAGTTTAGTGGTGCTCCGATGTGTTAAAAGACACCCGTTGCAACACGGTTTTACTGTGGTCAATTTAAACGCATTTATAAACGCTTTAAGAGCGTGTGGTTTACCTGAATCGTGCTCATTTGTCGCACATTTACCGAGCGCTGCATCCAACGATCAATTCAATGACGAGCAAGTGCTCAAGTAGGTTGCTTTCTGAATGTTATATTTAATCAGCAAATCGGGGTTCGATAAATTGGAATCGATAGACTGATATATGCATGAACAGATAGGTCAAATGGCAAAATTCATGCTGAAAAGGAAATCATTGAATACGAATAATTTACAGATATATGGATGATGTGGTGGTGGATGTCGATAAAACGCAACAACTGGGTCAGAACAGCACTGACGAAATTCGAAAGTTGCATGAATTTCATGCCCCAGCTTAGAAATTGAATAGTGCGCGTAATCACTGTTTTAACTGATTTATAATTCGCATAGAAGTGTCGTTTAGATTCAGCAAATCTCTGTCAAGCCGCATCTTATCAGCTTCACGTATTATGGCCTTTCCCTGCTCTGACTGTCAAGTTTTGTACTGCAGCTTTCAGTTACAATTTTTTGCTTCCCTTATTTTATTCATCTTCATCGGTAATCTATTGTAGAGCTTTAGCTGATCAATCAATGAAGTAAATATGTGTGTCTTCGATCGTTGCTACTTCTCAGGATGTATTATAATACTATTATCAGGAAGGAACGAATTTGCAGTTTTGTACAGGATGTACTCTATTTTATTTCAGTCTATACTTATTATTTGAATATGCTGGTAATTTATATTAATTAAATGTGCTTATTCAATTCTGTTTATTTGTGTCATATTTTACAATGTATTTTTTGGCTCTATTTGTTTGTATTGTAATTAATTGGGTATTACTAGAGGAATATGATTATGAGTGCAATTGTTTTATTCTTTTTATTCTGTCATGCACTTTATGATTTAATCTTTTTTACGAAATGATCTCTTAGAAATTTCTTCTTTGTTGATTGATTGATTAATTTCTAACATTCAGTTGACACTTTTGGTCTTCACTTCAACTTCTCGACTGATTAATTCTTCCACTTTTTGTTTACTGTTGTTATTGTTATTATTATTGTTGTTGTTATCGACACAATCTTTATCCTGTCTACCTAATAAGTCGCTAGCTCCTTTGGACAAAATGAATTGGCCTTTTTTTCTGTAATCCAATCGAGATTCCATCCATAAAACTTCCGTAAATACTTCAAAAATTTACTTGATGATCACTTTTTTTATCTATGATGTTCCTGAACAGTTGTAAATATTTATGCTGATGTTGTCAGTGATATGAAGCGGACTAATTTCGTTTGTTTGTACACCATTGGACGCTGTTCTAGCGTAATGATTTAATGCGGTGAAAATGGGTTATTTAGACGTATTCAAATTGTTTATTTTGTCTGCTGCATCGTTTGAGCAAGCATTTCTGGCATTGAAGACAGCCTTTTATTGAAATAATTTTCACAGCACCGCTAACATCTATGTGCGTCAAGGTAGTGCCGAAAAAGAGGCCCGTCACTAATTTTGAGTTTATGGGCAAAAAAAGATTCACGCTTGTCACAAAGTATTCCGTACGAATTTTAGCCAAGGAATTTGCATACGAAGCTCACATGTTGCGCTCGAAAGTTTCAACATGGAATGAAGCGCAACTGCCGCTAACGATAAGCGTTCCTCTATTATCATTTCCTGACCCCATATTTCGACATGAATCTCAACCTGGGATTCATGGACAGTGACAAATAAAGAGCCGATCGAAACATCTATTTGAGTGGTTCGATTGATATGGACCATTTTTACATGAACCTAATAAAAACCTAAAGTCACCCCGTCGGGAGTAGACACGAAGTTTCCTGTTAGAAACGACAATGTAACCACTTTGGTCTAAAAGATCATAATGATATCAGTTTCAAGCATCAGATACGTTATGTTCAAATGACCTACGACCTCAGCAAAATTAAAATCGTGAGATTTGTTGATTAGAGGACATCAACTATAGATTCTAAAACGCATATATCGTGCTGGTTTCGCAAATAATAGCCTGAGATATGGCTATACGCACTAATTGCATATTGGTCAACATGATCATGATATTGTTGAATATGGGCATCAGGATAAGGTTGTAGTTCGCTAACATCCGGCTTTGTTACCAGTTTCTTAACTGTACACATCTTGACGATTTCAAAATTAAAAGTTGGGATATAGCATCGTCAAAAAATGAGAGCTGCTATGCAACCAAAGGGCAGTGACGGTGGCAACTCGACTGTTTGAGTAATATTCAGATAATTAACTATATCTCTCAGACTGAAACTCAAAAAGTCGTATTATAAAACTAGAAAGTATGCAGAATCCATCGTGGAACCTGTGTGTACTGTTTGTTTGACTATGGTGATCTTGACGCTTCTAACGCAATTCATACGTTGATCATAGCAGACATAATGTTTTGAAATGAGCAGTGATGTGAACGCTAAACTATTTGATATAGCTTTAGAAATTCTGTAAAACTGATTTTTAGTGATGACAGAGAATCTCTTCTATCGAAAGATACCAATGAACCATCGCGTTAGTAAGCAATCTTGAGGATGCAGGTAGTATGAAGATTGTGCTCGTGACATGTTCAATTGTGAAGTTTGACAGTATAATGGAATCACTCAGTTATAAGACATTCCTTTAGAAATTCAGCTATATGTGTGGAACAGAGCGAAAGCACATATACTCTTCTGATGGTAAAGAATGATTTTTATTCGGTGCTTCCAAGAATTGTTTGCAGTGCTAAACATCCCTTAAGATACAGGTTTCTTGGGAATTGTACTCGTTCTATTTGTGTAGCACTACATCATTGACCAGCAGATACCCGATGTAAAATCAGAACTTTCGCTATCTGATCAACTGAGTGTCAAGAATATACGGAACTTTTCTTGTGGAAGAGACTACGTTGAATCCGGTGGTGTGATGATATCGTAAAAAGGAACATCATATATCTATTTCATTCCAGCTCTCGTATGCATGTATGATGGTAGTCCATTCGATGCAGCTGCTTATCAGTGAAATTTATCGCTCGACTTTTGCTCTTTTTTTACTCTAAGGATTATTTATAGGCTTACATATAGTTGAAATACCTCGGGTGTACTGCCACACTTCAGCTAAGACGTCCACGGGTTCCCATGTTTTGCAATGTATCAAGCACTCAGTGACACCACCATGCCATACCATAAATGAATCCACCAAGTACTAAAGTTCACAAAACTTCAACTCTGCTTTGACTGTATTAATTAGACGGAACTGGTTCAGCAGCCGAAACTGAACCGAACATTAACAAAGATCTGATATCATTGCAAATCGTGATGAAAAATCCCTATTTCGTCACTACGGGGCTTCTTATTTCACGCATTCATCATTATCGTACAAACATGATTCAGGTCACTTGACTCCCCTCGGCGAATCGGTTGACCGTTTGCCGATCATTTCCAAAAACTCATTCCGGGCTGAGAAATTGATCCCCACCCCCCCNCCCCCCCCCCTCTTCCTGATACAAAAACTTACAATTTCTACGTATAACGTCGGGAACAAAAGAAAAACCGGTCCGGAAATTCCTCAGAAGAAATTAATTTTCTGGAACAAAACGAGTATTTTTAGAACTTTATTTTTTCCCTTGCAGAAACAATATGAAGTTCGACAATCATGAACGAGAAACAATGAAAAAAATTTTTTTTCAGCGATAAAAAATGAAATCAATAATTCATGAAGAAGGAAGATGCAATAAACATTAGAGGAATTATCTTCGAGATAAACGGAAAAGCAATCATTACATCAAACTGATGGTAAATGAATAAGTAAAAATTCATCGGAGGGATGAAAATAAATTCGAATTATCGAGCGTTTTGAAAAGCGACAGGTGCATTAAGTCTGAAATTCCCATTCTACTTCTCAAGCATTTCAGTCATTAGCATCATAAGAAATGATGTCGTTCATCACGGAGTATTATGCCGGTTAAAAAAAACATTCATAAGTGATGCAAGAACTCGAAATTGTAAAAATTGAAACAAGATATCGATATCATCAAATTCAGAAATACTCGATCGTCCTACACCAAACCAATGATCTTTTCTGTCGTACCAAAGAGCCCAATCAATTCTTATTGCTCATGAGAGACGGTGTTAGCTAATATATTAAAGCACTTATGAGATATTTATGACTTCTTCAAACCGACTTTTGTTCAGGTCCAAACGAACTAAGGATACTCAGAAGATAGAATAAAGACGGGTATTTCCATGAACGAGCCGCGTTTAGATATCCGAGCAAAAAATACACCCTCGCAATGTCGTTTCATGATAACAAAACAACACCAAAAATTCCTTTCTCTCAATGAATCCCCAATGTTGATGAGAGACAATATCAGCCAATATACTGAAGAACTTACGAAACATTTGTGACTAAACAGACTATTGTTTAGGCCCGGATGAGCTAATGATACTCAGGAAATAGGAGAAAGAAGAGTGCTGCCATTAACTAATCGCATTTACATACCCAAGTGAAAAAACACCATCATAGTGGCGTGCTATCATAACATAGCAACTGCACGAAATACTAATTTTACAACCCCGCCGTTACCCCCTAATTACGTAAAGTGGGTAATTTCACCCCCTATGAGAACCACTGTCTTATCTATTTCTTTATTCATGATCATTCCGCACTTTTGCTCTTGAATTATGATTTAATTGGTTTATTACCACTTAACGTGGAATATTTCATTTGTCGAATCTTCCGTCAAAAACTTCTTTAGAATTCATCGTCGTGAAAAGGTGATTCAAATTTCATTTTGTCAATACTGTTTTCAGATATTCGATACACAACCTTACTCCTTTTAATCCAATCGGAAGGGTCACTTTCTATCTTTATGCTCAATTTGCATACTTTTTTTGTGAATATGAAGCAATAACGTGATTGATGACCCCATTTATCGCTTCTGAAATTCTCGTGGTCATCGTTTCAGTTCTTTATACTAGATTTACTTCTAATATAAATGGCATATAAAATAATAACTAATTGAAATCCAAGTGTGCATTGAAAAGTATTTGTTCGACTGAAATAATATGTATGCATTGGCGTGTTGTTTGAAAAAGGTTCGGTTTTTATTAATAAGAACAAACAATTTTTGTTTGTAAAGGAAGGCAATAATACTTTTATTATTCATCTCTTTTTGCACATACTTTATACATATGAGAAAGATATCACGAATAGATATCCAATTCACATTATTGATAAATCATTTAAAGAGCATTTTTGAATTCAAAGAAATGAAACAAATTCATTATCACAGCATTAAGGAAATAAAGAAACAATTAGATAAATCTGCACTGAGAAATGTCATCGCTGAACCTCACGTTCACTGGATCATTAATGGTCAGTTGGCTTAATGAGTGTGTTCCTTCAAATAACACAAGCCGTTTTGAACGTGTGCAATACTCGCTCACAACAAAACTTGTCTCACTTCCCACTATCAATGCTCAGCTATCAGATGCGCCAAGCAAAAAACGAACTCATAATCTGAAGTCTACGACATCAACCATTCAAACGCAATGAATGATGCTGTTGACAGTTGATCGATCAATCTCCTTCACTGCAATCGTTCCCCTTCGACGCTTCCCAAATCTGCTCACCACTAATTCACCAATGAAACCTTCGATTGACGAGTCGGAAAAATTTCTCATTTTCAGGCTCGTAATATTCGCGTAGACATCGCATCACATCCTTCCGCACGCGCGGATGGGCACGACCTTTGGTTTTGCCAAGACAATGCATTGTACCATCAGCACGAAGAACGCATGGGAATCCTTTAATTGGATCGGTTGCGAAATCCGATGGTCTTACGGCTGAAAATCACACATTATAGTCATAATCACATGGTCGAAAATGACGATTAAGATTAACTGAATTGTCATTTTTATATAATCGTCCTATGAATCAGTTAGGAACCATGCTTATCCAGAACTATCGATAAACACAGAACCGATCTTTCAATTATTTATCTAGATCACCGTACCAGAACTTTACTCCAGCTTACATAACAATACAACGGGAATAAATCGGGTGCCCCAAACGGACAAAACCTATTGTTCTATCAAATTGTTCTATCAGTAAGGAATGATCTTTTTCGGTGAGTGTATCGGCTACCATTGTCCATTAATTTCAGGGCAACCGAATGTTCCCGATGGGTCAGTCGCTAAGCAATATTGGTGATCAATTGACTGCTAGACAGTTTAATATGTGCTATTAATACAGCAAAACTTAATACAGATACCATTTATTCAATCTTTCTAAGCATATGAGCACTTCAATGGACCTTTACATTAAATGTTCTGTGCAATAATACGAGCTTGGAAAAATACGTCTCATAAAACTTAAAATATGCAAGTTCTCATGAATGCAGTTTAATCCAGTTATTCGCATTTCCGTATCCATGAGAAATAAATGTTGCAAAAAGATTCATATAGAGGCAGAAGAAAGTTGGAGAGCATAACAAAAATTAATTTGGAAGAATCATAACAATAAGAACAACAACAATACTCACTTGGCTTAACGTTTAGAAATTTCTCAACTGCACGAATTTCAGTTGCTGGATTCGTGATTAAGCGTTCACCGTCCACGAAATGTATTCGTTCGAGTGTGAAATATTGTAACCATTTCTTGATATGTCGATGGTAAATACCAATACGGATTGCACCCCACGAAGCGTTAATCACTGTTCGATTGAAAGCTGTAGAAAAAAAGGAACTTATCGACTTTTCAATTCATTAACCCAACAGCTAACAATACAGTTACTCACAATTCAGCAGCATCACATAGGTTACCAACAAATGTTTCGTCAGTTTTTATTACAGCAAATTTGAATTGAACGGTAAACTTTTGGCCACAATTATTGAAATTCAAGTGACACAAAATATTTTGCTCTGTTAAAGAACTGAACATCACTGAAACTTGAAAGTTTCCTTTAGAAGTGTCTGAATGCTAGCTGAAGAACTGAATATTTAGATATTATGTAAACTTTAGTTAAGAGCGGATTGCTTTATCTTATCACCTGAACAATTATTCGTGGAATGATCACCAATAGGTAGTCGCCGCATTGCCATAGCTTCAAAACTCGGCATCGATGCGCTCCGTTTTCGTTTACTCACAGCTTGTGTATAGTCTAAATGTTACTATTATTAATATCATTACTGTTATTATTTATTATTATTACTATTACTGTTGTTATCAATATAATTTTTAGGATAATTATAATAATAATTATCATAAATATCAGTTCTATTATTATTTCTATTATCACTATTATATCACTGGTGGTCAAGGATGTAGTAATTTGGGATGTATTCTGTTGATTGAGTATGCACCTGAAATGGCGCGTGTGATCGGATTGCGTACAACAACGATCAACTTCATATTCTTGTCCAACTGCCGGATCCTTTCTGGTGCCGTTTTGCTGATGAAATATGCTGGTGTCTTTTCTAATGTAACTTGTTCGGGCAACGTTTCAGGCATTTGATTGCTGAAATAAGTTTCAGTTGCATGCGAATATTTCCGAATATGAAAAGCAAATAATTAAGTGTAGAAGAGGCTGCTAGCATTGCTCATTAGCAACCATTCATATCCGTCAAATATCAAACTTTTCGAAAATAAGCTCTCATGAGCATTCTGGAAATTGAGTTATTCTTAAGAAGAGTTCACTGAATTTGCTCAGTCACATTCGATCAAGTAACAATAACAGCATTAGTAATTGCAAAAGTACTCTATTTGCTGAAAGAAACAATAATTGTGGTCGAACGAAATCTGTCAAGAATTACTCAGCAAAAGTGTTTTGATAGACACTTTCTTTTGCTTTTCGTTGTTAACGTTCATTGTTCGGTTTGACAGCGATGGGAATGGAATGGTGCATATTTTGGTTTTGAGTTATATTGTGTTGATTAAATAATGAGTGAGACTGCGAATGTTGATGATGATGCGAATAATGATGACAATGATAAAATTGAAAACTTATGCACTCGATAAAACTCTGAATCGTTCAACATTCCACTACTTAGACGACAGATTCTACGACTGATAACAAAACTCAGTTATAGGTCATTCAACGAATGATATATAACGTACTATGATAGCTTATCACATCTACCAATAAAAGGTTCATTAGTATATTAGCACCGTCGCATTCAAATGCAATAAAACATTTCCGGCTTCAAATTATTAATTCTTCTCATACCAGATCTATTTCCCGCATAAAATCTTTATTCATCAACTTTAACAACATCAACTAATGAGGTTGATAGACCAATCGATTTCGTGTAAAACTTCTCCCTTCGACTTTAAAGAATTGAGAAATTTTCGCATAGAATCTATTCATTAAAAGCAAGTCTCGCCCGTCTTGTAATAAACGAATGATTTTATTTCACTTAGAAATGCCCCATCCATCTTCTACTCGAACGCCTCGTTGATTATATTTTAATGTCCCTCTGTTCAACCTCAACGTTTTCGTCGACAATTCACCTCAAATGCAGTCAGTCAGTTCCATTTAATTCGTTTCTTCTCATCTAAAAACAACAATAACAACGTCTCTGTTTCTTCGCACTATCATACTCCACTTCCTCTGAAAAGAAGATCAGCGATAACGCAAAACATAAAGTATTACCAACCAACTACGTTATGACCAAAGTCAATCTCGTTTAGCACGTCAAATAATGCGGCACTTACAAAGACAAACGACTGCAAGGCAATAACCACCAAAATTCGCGATAAGAGTGAAGTCATCATCATCTTCTTTGCTGCTATCGCTTACCAATAATCACTTTTGCATTTGACTTTCAATCAGATATAATATGATTTAATACAATCTATCAGATATGATTCATTCGGTCGGTTCGTGCCTTGATCCGTGCAATCTCTATTCACAAGTGGACAACTTGAATGCTGTTTTAGCAACTCATTTGATTCAAAAAATGAGATGAGAAGAGAGAGTAGCAGCTAGATGATTATTTCCATGGCTGTCGTTTACTGTTGATGAAATGTTTTGCTGAGAAGAAAATAAGAGTAGAGGAAAGTTAATTAAACTTTTGATGAAAAGCAATTGAAAATGAGTATTATGCTGAAGAAAGAGTCTTGGAAAGTGCTCTTCTAGAGCGCATATACACAAACGCCATAAATAAGAAGGGAAATTAATTTGCTCGAATCGAACTCATAACATTTAACCTCACTTCGTGAAACTTACACTAGATGATAACAACAACAACACCGGTATCATAATATTACCATACCACTTGTTGCAATATCAATTAATTCACATTAAACTAGCAATAAAAATATATCATATGAAATCAGCAACTGCTGCCGGTTACTAAACAATAAGCTTGTTTGGTTAACTATTGAATAACGACTGCTGATGAAATATGAAATTCTTGATAATGGTGTCCAAAATCGACAGAGAATCTGTTCACATTGGGATCATAATCAAATGAAACCTTATCAAAAATCGTGCTAGACTAAAATTGCGATTCTCTCTATAACACTTACGTCTCAGGGCCAACTTCTTCGGAACTATTTAGCAATTATCCACATGCAATAGCCATCGATCAAGATTTGAATATCCTGAGATATATTTCAGTTATTCGGGGAATGTCCAACGGACATATTATTAATATTATCATTACTGCTATAATAATAATAATTATTATTATTATCATTATTACCAATAATATCATTATTGATATTGTCATTACTATTACTGCTACCATTGGTATGGTTATTGTTGCTGTATTTTTGACTGTGATTCATCAAACTCTGTGTGATAGAAGCAATCTTTGAAATAAGATGGAAAGTGAGTCAATCAGTCAAATGACGTTCTATTAAAAATGATCTTCTGAAATGCATCATCATTACCATTGTCGTGCTACTACCAGTACTGCTAATAATAATAATGATAGCACTGTTCATCACCGATACAAACACATCATTGTTCACGTATGCTGCATATAAAATGCATTCACATACGAACTAACTATCGCACAAATACGTATGATGAAAGTGCACGAGCATACAATTTGAGTCATCATCATTGAAAGTTTCCGAAGAAAAGAGATTTCTTTCTGTGGTGTCAGGAATTGAGTTACGTTTCGCTCACTTGAAACGTCATTTTCATCATTGAATTATTTATTCAATGGTGTTTTCAAAACACCTGTTAGATCACAAAGAAGTGTTTATTGTAATATAGCTGAAAATTCTTAACCGCAATATTCTTCATCATTGCATCAATTCGATGAATTTTTTGTAACTTGTCGCACAGCAGTAGGACAGTTCGAATGGGGCGAGAAGTTTAAGTCATGTGGATTGTTGGTGGAAGCAATGATGTTCTCCCGTATGACAAAAGGGAGATGGCATGGAGGGCCACAGCATGAAAAGCTATAAACGTGATATTTTGAAAAATTTTTTGCTTGAAATCTATCGGATACGTTTCCGGTTGTCAGCATACACTTAAAAATAAGTCTGTATGGGTTGTATGCAAAGGCCCTATATAACATATCATTTAGGTGAATACCGGTATTTAGAAACTAGCTAATGGCGGCTTAGGCACAAAATTTGATTGATATATTACGATTTGAAGTTTTGGTATATTTCAAACAACTACCGGAAGCATAATAGCACGATAATGACAAGTTTGTTATATTAAATTCGTACACATAATGATATATGTATGTGCATAAATTTATTATGAAGAGGTGAATACTATTATGAATGTTGTGTATTAAGTGTAGATTTGTGCGTCGAAGTTGCTGTTTATAAATGCGTTAGATAAACCGACGATCGGCAACATAAAAAGTCGGCTAGATAGCATGTTGACAAACATTGTACTTATGTAATCCCTTCCCTACTCAGGCTCATCACCCTTCTACATCATCATTATCATTAGTGTATCCAACTCCACCATCATTTGAAATTTATCCATTATTTATACTTGCCTTTATCCACTCATTTATTTATGTATGCATATGAATATTCCACCAACAAACTCTTCACTATCGAAAAGTCAAGATGAACGCACACAAATATTACACATCAATTAAATCGAATACTATTCATTCTCGTAAAAAATTTGCAATCTAATATCAGTTGAGTTCGCTGAATTAATTTTCAATTCGTTTCAGTACAGCCCAACGCGGCTATCACAAATGACAATTCATCTGATGCTACGAAAATCTGTCTAGTTCATCTGATAAGCTCTCACTCGTTAATAAGAATTTAGACTCTCGCAAAGGATGGATGACTGTGGTATATCTAGATGAAAATCGGCTAAGCCAAAACCCAAGGTACGATAGAGCGCTCACAAGCTTCCTGACCATCCCTTATGTAGGCGTCATAATCTATGCGGCATACAACTGTTGAAAATGAATAATTTTGAAATTGATTCGTTCCCATGTGTCACCACAGTTACCTAGTCAGCCTATAAACCAGTCATCGTGCTGGGTCCATTTCCATCATTTATTCATTCCTCGTCAACATGTATGACTACATTCCCTTCATTTTCTGGTTCAATCCGGCCTTGATTTATTAGATGCCAACTAAACAGACGCCTGCCTGATATTTGTAGTATGAGTAGTGGAACGATACGAACACACTGACATCTCCTTGCATTAATTTTCCTCAATGCATTCGTCTACGCATACACTATCAACCTTTCATCTAATCATTCCTCATAATGATCATTAACGTTCAACCCTTCCACAGATTTGCACCACTCCTCACTCACAATTCGATTATTTTCACGGCTAATGCTAATGCTTTCACCATACGAACGGGTTACCAAGCGTCGACTAGCATCGTCGTTGCTTCAAGCCGCTCCTCTCTAATTCATCACTTTCAATAAGCAGAAAATCTTTTCAAAGATATGCAACGATATCCACACATGCACTCGTATATCCACACACGCTTGCTTACACTTCTATAACTGTGCATGAATGTATACATTTTGAAGGTTCAGTCAGCACTTGGCAGAGTCAGTTATCATCAAAGCAATATATATTTTAGTCCAGCTTTTCAAACGAATCAATCTGTTTGTTCATAAAAGAACGCCATCAACCAGTGTGTGAATGACTGCCAATGTTTCTTCTAGTAAAATAAACGGCGAAAGTTGAATGAACATTGTCGTCGTTCCTGTCATCGTGACCACTTGTCTTTCACATATAGTTTGCGGGTAAGCAGATACATGGATATTACGATGACCCATGGGACTAACGATATTTAGTCTTATAAGTTTACCACTTGTCGTCGTTTCAACTTACTTCAGCATGAACTTCACACTTTTGTTTCACTGCTTGATTCAATCAAACCACTAAATAATACTTTCATGCAGTTTCCATTTTCAATCATCTCTTCTCAGCAACAACGTTATGAATATTTGACTGCATAATTTGATAACTTTTATTATATCTGAGTTAACAGTGGCCGTTCATTATGTCACTGGCAAGAATTTCAAATGTCACTTAGTAATCAGTTGAACTCAATCAATGAAACAAAAAAGATGCTCCAAACTGCCGGAAATAACATCCTGCAATTGGCATTTTTACTCATCACACATCTGCACAAATAAATAATTTGCTACTATTGTTGATTTGTTTGGTCTGTTCTTATGAACTCTTCTTCCGGCCACGTGTCGTTCTACTTCATTGTTTCACAGCTGGTAGGCATTCGCTGATGGCTGGTTTAGATGGCCATTGCTAAATTCAGCATGAACTCCACGAATTCAAAAAATTCGTACGATCAGCCACAAATACATTGTA